CCCTGGCCGCTACCCCCTAGCCAAGTTGTGACAACTAAAAAATGTTTCCGGACATAACCAAATGTCCCTTAGGGGCAAAATTACCCCCCATTGAGAACTACTGCTGTATATATTCTGGGCACCCTCACTATAATCCAAGCAACACGTACCGAGAGTCTCCTCTGTAATGGGCATAGGATACACAAAGAAGAAAAAGATAAAGCCTTTGTGTTCCTGGAACTTGAGTAGAGAACCCCCCCCCCCACATGTCTCTCTCTTGACCTATCAGACAAACAAGCTTAAAAAGAATGTTAACATGCAGTTTTTGGGGGGCAGGATGAAGAAGACTTACAGGTCTTTTTCAGAAGTTAAAGTTTAAAGAAAATCGAAGGTTGCCCTGTGAGCGGAGAGGAAGCTGAAGCGCCGAGGGTTACAGAGGTTTTTTTGTTTTCTGCCCTAAGGCTCTTTTCAAGATGCCTTTTAGCTCCCTTAAATGGATCAGTGAAGACTTCAGCTATTAATCTTGGGGATAACTGGTCTTTCTCCTTCTCCCTGAATCAAAGTCAATGAAATCTCTTATTAGAGCTTTCATCACCTCTTGATGAGTTTATCACAACATTCTTTTTTTCTTACCTTTTTAACTCCCTAACACATCACTAAAAATCATTACTCTTAAAAAAAATAGTAGAGAAAGCAGTTATGGAAATGGCTTAATTACTACAGTGTTTTAAGTGCTAGAAGAAGAGGGAAATGATGAAAGTATAAGATAAACCTCAAGAGAGAGACCAGCTGTGCAGAAGAAAGCAGTTCCCTAAGCAGCATCTGGGGACCGAGTCTTGGAGGTCTGTGGTGTGGCAGGTGAGAGAGCCGGCACATAGGACAGCGCAGGGATGCCACACCAAACTCTTGCATTTGCAGAGAAGGTTCAGGAAGTCTGTGGGAGCTGAGTATAGGCTGCGTGGTGTCCAGGGGCAAAGGACGAGGCTCTTGAAGGGCATGGTGTGTCTAGCTAAAGAGTCTGGCCTTGTGTCAGCCTGCTGCAGAGAGTCACTGGGAGTTACTGACCTGGGAGCGAAAGCGTCGTCTTTGTTTCTGCTCAATTCTGAGAGCAGGTGGGGAATGGCCGTGGGTGGAAGAGTCCAGCATCAGAGTGGACAACCAGGGGGCTGCTATGAAATGGTTCGGGTGAGAAATGATAAAGTTCCAAACACAGACAGTGGTCTTGGGGTCAACACAGAAGAGAAGGCCAGAGTTGAAAGCCACTTGTGGAAGAAGAGGTGGGCAGGGACGTAAGAACCCATGCAGGAGACCAGAAAGCAACGAGCCAGGAGCCGGGCAGACAGAGTGGCCTGAGGAGGCAAGAGACTGAAGAAGAAAGGCAAGGGAGGGTCATAAAGCCAGGGGAAGGTGGGAAGGACGGGACTGGCCAGAAGCTGCAGGATCTCGCAACTCCAGCTCTGCTGAACTCAGCAAGAGAAATTTCTGGAGGACAGTGTGAGGCAGAGTAAAAGAGAGTTTAAAGGCGGGCACACAGGGAGGGCAGACCTCTCCAGAGTTTGGGAGGGAAAGGAGAGGAAGAGATTGTGACTTGGAGGAGACATGGGGCTTAAGAAGGGTTTGTTTTTGAATGGCAAAGCCTTAAGGAATTTTGAGAGCAGAGAGAGAATGAGAAGGATAGAAGGTCTAGCACAAATGGAGGGAAATTTGAGCAGAGGAGATAAAGAAGGGGGTCCAGCGGGGATGGGAAGGGGCTCGCGGTGGGGTGGAGACGCTGCAGGGAGGAACACAACACTGTCCTCTTAGAGAAGGGGCAGGCAGACGGCAAGCAAAAGCCTCCTTCCCTGATGGCCTCATTTCTCTCTGAAACAAGCAGCAAGGTCACTGTGAAGAGGGGGACATGGAGGTGGGGTGGGCATGAAGAGAGTGGAAGGAGAGGCTTCCAGCAGCTGCTGGGGGAATAGAAAAAGGACTGTCTAGGAACAGTGAGGAAGCCCAGCAGAGGACAGAAGCCAATAATATGGTGATGCCACTCGGCCGGGTGACAGAGTGGCCATGAGCAGTCTGGGCATCTTTCTGGGTCTTCTTATTTACTGTCATCACATTCCGAGTCATTTCTCTCAAGACAGCACAGTCTCTGGAGGCCCCGCAGCCCAGGCTCCCACAGCCCAGGCTCCAGCCTTCAAGCTCCTCCAGCCCATCCCAACGAGGAGCCTTGGGATTCAACTTCTGCATTGACCCCCAAACCCCTCCTCATGGCTTTTGATGGGAACGTGTTCTCCACAAAGTGCAGAACACTGTTAAAGAAAATGATTCTTATAAAACAATTTACAAGTGCTCTCTCTTTCCGTCTTTTTATCTCACTGACAAGTCTGAAAGTAATTTTCCTGCATTTTGAACAATAAGCCCATTTTCAGATACTTCCTACGCTGGGGAAAATCTCTCTAGTGACCAATTACTAAGTCAGCCCTCCCCCTTCACCACACTGTCACCATAAGACTGTTCCAGGCTTTCTTCATAAAACAATGTCAACAATAACTCAATCACTTTCCTTACTTTTAAAATGCAAGGATTGTTGACTGCTAAAGTCAATTGCACCAGAAACATGCATTTCTCATGCAGCTCATATGTTTGCAGGTTCACTCAATAATCCTACCTGGTCTGATGAGAGAATTGTTGTATTGGTGTATAGGGTCAGAATTTAAATACATAACATGCAATCTAACTGCAGAAAAGAACACAAGTGGGCAGCCTTTTATTTTTAAAGGAAAACTCACATTAACCATGAACTTATTCTCTATTTTGTTTAGTTATAAACACTTTGTTTTGTTTTTATTTTTGGCGGCTGGCCAAAAGATCCAGGATCCAACCCTGGACCTTGGTGTTATCAACACCATACTCTAAACAAGTGATCTAACCAGCCAGTCCCTGGTTGTAAAAACATTAAAGCAAAAACTGAAGCCTGGAGCCTCAGGCTGGTGGGAACAATGGTCTCCTCCCTGTCCTCTCCCACTGTCTCCCTCCCCACCCGGTGGCCTTCACTCTTTCAAGCTCTTACTTTAGCATCACATAAAGCCAAACAATGAGGCATCACCTAACACTGCATGTAACTGAACTGTCACCATATGACCTACGCCTTTTCCCAGGACTGTCTGACGCATTACACCGTCTGAGCAACACACTAATATTCAACTGGCTTCTAGCACTTACATTTCTGAGCAGGCAAGAATTTATTTACTTTTCTCCTTTGAATCCATTAAAAAAATAATAAATGCAACTACATGCGACCTGTTTGAGAATAAAAATTTAATATATCATTTATACATTCAGTATTATATTGGGTTTGTAGAACAGAACCACATTAAGTAAGTGGTGGCAAAGACCAGACCACCGTTTACTTGTCTGAGTATGGCTTTCCTTCCAACTGGTAAGAGGACTTGAAACAAATAAAATTACCCGTCATTACTGCCATGGCTCGATTCTACTGAGACAAGAAGTAGTACAGCTAAACATCATTAAACTAGAGAGGTAGGTTAAGATAAAAAATTAACAAAATGTCTGTAATTTTAAAAAGCTGACATAGAAATGAGATTATAAAAAGGAAGAAATGTTCTCAGCTAGTTTCTGGTTATATACAGGAGGCATTGATATAATAGATTGAATACATTAAGTGTAACAAAAACCACCTGAATGACTTACCTCCTTGGGCTTATTTATAATAGGATCATGATTCTTGCTCCTCAGAGAGGAAGAGCTATTCAAGTACTGTGTGTGTGAACTGTACTTTTCTTAGCATTTAAAACAAAGAAAATAATTGACCATGGAGTAAGTAGTTTATATAAGAAGTGCAAAAAGCGGCTGAATTTTGATTGTTTTTTGTATTTGTTTATTCAATCATTCATTGAATTTCTCACGGGTACTATCATGAGGCCAGTGTAGGGCTGGGCCCTGGGATACCAAAATGATGACGACACAGTTCTCGCCCTCTGGGTTTTTTAATTTAGTTGGGGAGGTGAGGGATACCACCAAATATGGTAGAAAGGGAGGTGTCATGAAAAGATCCAGAGCCCCCAGCTGGAGGTTGTGTAATCTGCCACTTCTGGTTACTGATAAGGAGGAACAGCAAGGGAGATAAGGACTCCCAGGACAGAAGCCAGAGGGCACTGGAGGCACAGGAGCTGGAACTGCTGCTTCTGGGCTCGGGGCAACTCCCAGATGACACGGCAGGAGTGTGTGGGCTTCATGCTTATCCCATACCATTAACACTCCTCCCCTAACACCCACCAGTCTGCTTCTTTCAGACCCGCGACCCTGTGTCTTCCTCTGCTCATCCTTTCTCCCATGGCCTGGAGAGAACAGGAAAGACCTCCTGGAGAATGTGGCGTTTAAGCTGGCCTTACTGTCCAGGGGCGGGGGTTTGAAGATAGATTGGAAGATGGGGTGGGACGTCCCAGATGGAAAACAGAAAGAAACTCAGTTAGGCTATGACACAGCACGTGTTAGGACGAAGGTTGAGGCCACATCACAGAGGCCCGTGAGTGCTTCGGAAGGAGACTGGATTTTATTCTACAGGCAGAGGGGGCCATTAAGGGAGAGAGGGTACTGGAGCTCTGCCTCAGGAAGACTGAACTGGAATATATTGGTGAGGACAGACTGGAGGCAGGAAGTCCAACTCCAGCCCTAACTCAGAGACTGGAGATAAGCGCCGCAGTTGGGGGCCACTGCAGGGGTCCAGGCAGAGGTTCTGCAGGGCCTGAAGTGCTTAAGGGTTTAGTAGTTGGACCAAAAGTTATCATCACTTTTCTTTTTAAATAATAAACATACCAAAATAACTAAGAGGATAAATTTCAAATGTCTCATCATAGAAAATGATAGGTAACTGAGGTGATGGATATGTTCATTAGCTTGATTTAATGCTACCACATTGCATACACATATCAAATACCACATTGTACTCCATAAATTATTTGTCAATCAAAAAAACTACTACTACTAATAAAAATGAAGAAAATTATTAAACATACCTTGGAAACCTGATACTATTTGGACAACATCTTCATACACCATTAGAGTAGCAGATCGTTCTGGAAGAAGGCCGAGGCTCAGGGAAGAAAATACTGCAGGAAAAAAATGGATATAAGGGAATCCTGACATTTAAATCCAAATGCCCACTTTAATTTTTTGGGTATGTTGCATTCTTTGTATTCCCTGATTTCGAGTCAATCAATAATATCAATTTTCGGTATAATTAGCAAAAGACCTTCAAAACTCCACAAGAGTACTGCAGTCTCTTCACAGAACAGCTGCTTGCCTTACAACAGTCAACTTGGTTTTATGTTACAAGTTTTTAGTAAAGTAACTGAGTCTCTTCACATTAGAAATACATTAAAAGTTACAATGCATACAGTATATGAATGGAGAATAAATAATGTTAGATATTAACCTTAAGAAAGACTCTAAAAACATGTGTTTAAGTTAATATGTGCCTCATGGTAAAATAATATTCCCCCCTACCCTGGCAACTAATGACATGATAGAACTTGTTCTATTTTTAAATTTTTGCTTAAGTACCTGGATTTCCAATTAAAAATTTCACAAAGCCTACAAGTTTCTGGGTAGAACGTATGAATTTAAGAGAAAAACAAACAAATGCATTAAATATTCCATTATAATCACCAACATTATTGAACCCTTACTAACATGGCAGACATCATTCTAAGCGCTTTAATTTTGGTAATTTATTTGTGTCAAAACAACTCTGTGAAGTAGGTATTATTACCATACTCATTTTACAGGTAAGGAAACAGGTTTATAGATGAGGAAATAACTTGCCCCAAATCCTGGAGCTGATAAATGCTGGAGGCAGGATTTGAACTCTGGAGTGTGTCCTCTACCACCATGCTACACGGAAAGTGACTTTCTGAGAGTGTATCAGGAACTAGAAAGATCAAGTGCTAAGAATATCAATTACTTAGCAGGGCGGGTTCATAGTGCCAGAGGGGACCAGTGAGTCGGCCTTGGCTGTGACCTCTCTTTTCACTCTCCACACAGTCAATTTATTTAGCTGCCACTATGTACATGGCCCAGTGCCAGCTCCTGGGTGGAATGGATTAATGCTGGAGGAAGTCTGTGCCTTCAAGGGTCATGTACTGGAAGGGGACTAAGACTCGCAATAAGCAGCTGCATGCCAAGCAGATTGTGGCAAGCGCCATGAGAAAGAAAAATGCACCTTGGTGCTGAGGAAGAAGAAACCACTCCAGAAAATGTCTAGGAGCTCCTCCTCTTCTGCCTGACTGGTCACTAGTGGAACCACGAGTGAGCCAGGACTAAAGGGGGGAGCTCTAATGTGGGTCAATCCCACACGGCCACTTCAAAGGGAAACGACCTTTAACAGCAACCCTTTCATCTAATGGCCCAGGGCATCTTGCAGCCAGGGAGAAAGGGCAGAATTGCTGTAGCACATGGTGCCCAGTAGGAAGCATCTCACCTTCAACCCAGGCTGGTGCCACTCCAAGGGCTGCCGCCTGGGCCGCCCTGCTCAGTTCCAGAGCTTGCACAGAGCCCAAGGGCATTTGCCAGGTCTCCCCATCCCCTGCCCCAAACACCTCTGGGATGCCCTGCGGGAGGCACTCTGAGTTTCAAAGTCACCTGGGGTCAGGGCTGGCCCATGGCTCAGTTGGGAGAGTGTGGTGCTGATAACACCAAGGCTACAGGTTCAGATCCCTATATAGGGATGGTCAGTTAGCTCACTTGGGAGACCATGGTGCTGACAACACCAAGTCAAGGGTTAAGATCCCCATACCAATCATCTTTAAAAAAAAAATAAGAACCCAACAAAATCACCTGGGGTCATCCCCAGAGGTGTGTGACATCCCAGTGCATTTTAAAAACTTCTCTCAAGGAAGACATACAAATGGCCAACAGGTACATGAAAAAATGCTCACCACCACTCAGCATCAGGGAAATGTAAATCAAAACCACATTGAGACATCATCTCACCCCAGTTGGACTGGCTCTTATCAAAAAGACAGAGAATAACAAATGCTGGAGAAGATTCAGGGAAAGGGGAACTCTCATACACTGTTGGTGGGACTGTAAATTAGCACAGCCATTATGGAAAACAGTATGGAGGTTTCTCGAACAACTACAGATAGAACTACCACACGATCCAGCAATCCCACTTTTATGTCTATACCCAAAGGAATGAAAATCATCATGTTGAAGGGACACCTGCACTCCCATGTTCATCACAGTTCTATTTACAATAGCCAAGACATGGAATCAACCTAAATATCTACCAATGAATGACTGGGTAAGGAAAATGTGGTATATATACACATGGATTACTACTCAGCCATAAAAAAGAATGAAATTCTATAGCAACATGAATGAGCTTGAAGAAAATTATGGTAAATGAAATAAGCCAGGTACAGAAAAAGAAATACCACGTTCTCACTCATAAGTGGGAGCTAAAAAAAAAAAAGAAAGAAAGAGAGAAAGAAAGAACAAAAGAAAGAAAACAATCATAAGAATACATTGAACTTTCAGAAGGTGAGAACAGAACTGTGGTTACTAGAGGTGGGAAAGGGGGAGGGGGAAGGGGTATAGCAAGAAATTGGTTAATGGGCACAAAGAATGATTACGTTTTGTAATGATGAATATGCTAATTATCCTGACTGATCATCACGTATTGTAGACAGGTATTGATAGTCAACTCTGCACCTTACAAATATGTATAACCAATTATGTTCCAATAAAAATTGAAAAAAATTTTTTTTAAAAAACTTCTCTCATACATCAGGCAGCTGCTCTGACAAATTCTTTCTCAAAACTTATTTCTTCTGGGTCGGCCTGGTGGCGCACTGCTACAGTGCGCCGCTTGGGAGTGTGGTGGCGCTCCCGCCGAGGGTTCGGATCCCACATACAGACCAGTTCCCGCTCACTGGCTGAGCGAGGTGTGGGAGCAACACCGAGGGTTGCGATCCCGTTGCCGGTCCCGGTCCGGTACAGGCGCGACACTGAGGGTTGCGATCCGTTGCCGGACACGAAAAAAAAAAAAAAACTTATTTCTTCTAGGAGAAAAAATGACGTCTTGTACTGAGTCTGTCATGTGCCAACAGAGGCACTGTCAGGGGCTTTTGGGAGCAGGAGAGCAGGCACTACAGCCCCAAATGAACCAATTTCCCAGGTGGGCGGGAGGTGGCCGAGAGGCCCCGAGATCTGTGAGTGGATGGTATTTTTACCCATCACGGAAGGGATGTTGATGGATACCCAGAGGTTCTCTCCACACCAAGTACATGTTTGCTTTTTAACAAGTAGGGAGAAAGGAACACCTCTATCTACCTGGGAGCGGTGGGAAGACTCCTTGGAGCAGAAGACAGCCCAGCTGGGCTTTACAGGACAGAAGACGAGTTTGCCAAGGGAACAATGGAAAAGCAAAAACAGTGCAGACAAGCACAGAGAGGGTGAAAACACCAGATTCCTTCAGACAATACAAGATTGCCCAGGGTGGCCAGACCATGAGATGTGTCAGGGGGAAGTGGCCAGGGCAGGAGGCTGTGTGTCACATGTGTTTCACCCTGAGGCTGCCGAGGATCTTAGGCAGATGTATAACATAACTGGGCATCTATGTTTTAAGACACTAATGGTCAGCAATACAGCAGGTGGTTTAAAGGGCAGACTAGCCTGGCCAGGGTGTGCTGCAATGGTCCTGGACCACTGCAAAAGGCCTGGGCTATGTTAATAATCAAGATGTAGAGGGATAGTCTTTAGTGAATGGATTGCATTTTATATAGCTAAACTTGTTCTTACCTGTTTGCCAAAGGTGAACGGTGCTCTCCTTACACTGGGTCCCTCTTCCCCAGTCTATAACTCCCTCCTTGAAAGGGAAAAAAACCCCAACACATCCTCCCAGGAACTATTGCTAAGGGTGAAAAAAGAAATCCATTCCAACATCTCGTAAGAACGCACATGCAAACAAAAACATTGTGCTATGCACGTGTGGCAAAGAAGGCATTTTTCTAGTGCCAAATTTTCAACATATTTTAGAAGAGGCTCCCAGCTCTTCCCTCTTACTTGCCCAATTATGTGGAATACCATAAGTGTTCATCCTGACCTCCAAAAATATGCATGAAAACGACAATTTAGTTCTGTCCACGTTTTGGTCACGTTTCCTGCTAGATTTTAGTTAAGAGTATCTTTATTGTATTGAAAAGACAAGAAGAGTAAAATAATTGAAGATGTGGGAAGGCCCTTGGAAATTACTCACACTAGTTAATTTAATTTTAAAAACAAGAAACAGGCTCAGGAAGCACTGATGTGCCCCCACGAGGGGTGGGCAGGCCTGGCACCCAGGTGACTTCATGCCTCATTCAAAACACTTTCAGTTAAACTATGTTCCTATTATTTGACCCATTTAAGAAAATGAATATCATGAATATTATGGAAATATTATGAATAACTTATTTTCAAACAACCATGTTAATCGAGTCAAAATGAATGTAATTAAAGCACAATTGATTCTTACTGTTCACGATTCTGTATTTGCAAGTGTGCCCACTCGCTAAAATTTATTAGTAGCCCCCAAATCAATATTTGGGGTGCTTTACATGCACATGCACAGAGTAGCCAAAAATTTGAATCTCCTGATCCACAGGTTGCCAGCTGAGGTTCAGCTCTTTTTTTTTTTTTTTTTTTAAAAGATGACCGGTAAGGGGATCTTAACCCTTGACTTGGTGTTGTCAGCACCACACTCACCCAGTGAGCAAACCGGCCATCCCTATATGGGATCCGAACCCGTGGCCTTGGTGTTATCAGCACCACACTCTCCCGAGTGAGCCACGGGCCGGCCCCTGAGGTTCAGCTCTTATCTGTGAGCGTCCTTTCCTCCATCTATTTAATGCCAAACCTCCACATTTTTGTGCTTTTTGTTGCTGATTTTGCTTCGAATATTTAAAATAGTCCCCAGGCATAGTGCTGAAGTGCTGTCTAGGACTCCCAAGCTCAGGAAGGCTGTGACGTGCCTGATGGAGAAAATACAAATCAGAGAAGCTTCATTCAGGCATGAGTTACACTGACATTGGCCATGAGTTCAATGTTAATGAATGAACACTGCATTGATGGTCTACAACCTAATAATGGTTTGACTCACGATTTTTTGACTTTATGATCGTACAAAAGCCTCACACTCAGTAGAAAAGGCTTTGCGGTAGATGATTTTGCCCAACTGTAGACTAAAGTAAGTGTTCTGAGCATATTTAAGGTAGGCTAGGCTAAGCTGTGATGTTTGGTAGGTTAGGTGTATTAAATGCATTTTCAGCTTAGGATATTTTCAGCTTACAATGGGTTTATCAGGATGTAACCCTGTTTTTTTTTTTTTTTTTTTTTTTTTTTTTTTCCGGGCCCGC